GACGCACGCGTACACGTATTCGTGCACCTGTATCGTTGCAGCGGGGGCAGCGCCCCTCATCTGCGCGGTGTGGGGGACGAGGCGGGGGAGGAGGAGGAAAGGGGGGGGGGTCTGGAATTAGCAAGTTATCTCCCAACCGCGCGGTTCGAGGGACAAGAGCCAAGGATGTATGATGCGCGGCCCGCTCCCCCGGGGAACCTGGGAGCACCTCCCAGGAAAAGGGGGGTTGGGGGCTGATCTCCCGAGGAGGCGCGTTCACGCGGCCTCCTCGGTACACGGATGACGTCGAAACCGAATGTTTTTCCGCCAACCATCCTGTGGTGTTGGGTCCTCGCTTTGACAAGACAGCGCCCCGCTGCACTCCGCCCTTCCTTCTCTTCCTCCCCATCCTCCCCGTCCTTGCCTCTGCCCTCCGCATTTACATGTTTCGGCACACCCCGCACACGTTCCGTGGCCCCCTAGGGAGCCCCACCTAGGGTCCACATGCCACCGTTCGCACGCGTCCACCGCACCCATGTTTGAACCTCGCGGAAATCTAGCACGCGGGTGATATACGAGCCAAACACAATGCATTTCCAAGCGCAGGGCACCCCTCCACCCTCTCACAAACGGCATTCGAGGCAAGACCTGCGCTCCCGACCCAGCATCCGTCTCCCCCCGCCCCGCGAGCTTCGGCGTTTGTTTGGTCGGCGCTGGAGTCGGCGTCGCCCTTGTGCAAATGTCACCCCGTGACGTCTTCATTTTTATGTGTATATATATATATATATAGATATGTATATATTTATTTATATATGTACGGATATATACACACGGTATAAACAGATTATAAGTACACACATAAAACTGGAACATGACATGTGTTTGATTCGTTGCGATCTATACTTGTTATATCGTTCCAACTGCGTTTGAATCACGATGTTGCTCACTTCTCAAAATTCCGAATCTCACACAACACGTGTTGCTCTTGCGCTGCTGCCGATATTTTGCATGTCTGCATGCTCTGCGTGGCGGTCCCCGCGGGGGAAGCCCAGCTGCCCCTCCCGCGCGCCCGCGGGCGCCCCCCCCCCCCGCCGGAGCTGGCTGCAGGCGCCCCTCTCGCGGGCGGCGCGGGAAGCCGCGCGGGCCGCCCTGGCCCCGCAAATGGAGCACACATCGCTCAGCGCGCGAAGAGTCTGGGCTTATGCCGGGCGCGTCCCCCACACAGGGGGATTTTCGACGACAAATTTTAAAAATACCCCAGAATTACACCAAAAAGGTCAAACAATGCCAAACAAATAGTCCCCTGACTATTTTGTTGGGCGATGTTTTGACTATTTTTAAGGAATCTTTCATGTTTCGTTGAAAACCCCCTGTAGGGGGACAGGCCCGACCAAACTCTGGGCTCGCGCGCAGGCGCCGCGCGCGACGGGTGGCCGCGTGGAGGTGGTCGCAGATTCCCGTTTCCCGCGAGCCGCGGGGTCGCTGAGCTCTGGGGCGGCGCCCGTCCAGCTGCTTGGGCGCGCGCGCAAAAAAAAAAAAAAAAAACTCTGGGAGGCCAGCGCCCCGCGCCGCCGCGGCGGGCCGCCGCGTGCCCGCGGGGCCACGGCGCGGGACCGCGGGGCGTCCGACGAGGACCGCGCGGGGCAACGCAGAAGGGGCCCTGGGACACACAAGTAAATTCACACAACTAAAAAGATGCCCCATGTTTTCCAATATTTTCTGGGTTTCTGTTTCCCCCCCCACTTCCTATATTTTTCCATATTTTCCTGGGGCATATTTTCCTGGGAATCGACGATTACTGGTGTATGTGTGTTTTTTCCCCTCCTGAGAAGCGGACCGCCTGGCGGGGCTGGCCGCCAGGGCCTGGAGATACCTGCGACCACGTTGCGCCGGGTGCGCGGCAGCTCGACCCTCTGGCCGCGGTGCACAGAAAGGGCGCTGGCGTTCGTGGAGACTGCGGCGCTCAAAGCCAACCGCGCGACGCGCGGCGCGGCACGGCAGCGCGTTCGGCGCCGCGGGGAGGCGCCGCGCGCCGCGCGGCCCTGGCAGGCCCCGCGGCCGCGGGCGGCGCGGCCGTCGCTGCCCCCTTGGGGCCCCATGGCGAAGCCCGCGGCCGCGGGCGGCACGGCCGCCGCTGCCCCGCCAGCTGCCCCCCGCCCGTGCCAGCGGCCGCGGCTCGGTCGCTGCTCGCCGGCCACGCCTGGCGCCGGCCACGCGGCGCCCTCCGGGCGGGGCCGGGGCGCCGACCCCCCGCGGCGGTGGCCGGGCCGAGCTGCGGCGGGGGGGGGCGGGCGAGCCGGCCGGGCGCCGGCGGGGCGGCGGCGCTGCCGCAGCGCGCGCGGCGGGCCTGCCGCTGCTGCCCGCGGCCAGCGCCGGAGGCGCGGATGCCGACTGGGCGTGGCTCGCCGCGCGCCCTGGGGCGCCCGAAGCGATGGGCGAATCGGTGGAGTCAGCGGCGCTGCCGCAGGTGCGGGAAGGGGGCCGCGCGCCCGCCGTCCCCCCCTTCCTCCCCCTCCCTTCCTCCCCTTCCTCCCGTTTTCCTTCCTCCCCCCTCCTCCTCCCCCCCTCCTTCCCCCCATCCCCCCCCCCCCCCCCCCCCTCCTCCCCCTTCTCCCTCCCCCTCCGTCCTTCCTCCCCCTTCCTCCTCCTTCTCTCCGCCCCTGAGCAGTGCTTGTGCTGGTAATTTTGTTTTCATCCACGCACCCAAGCAAGGTCAATGAATCCTCTGGCCCGCATGCGTCACGTCAGATCCCGCAACAAACCGCGCTTCCTGACTACGCTACGACGGGGAAGCTGGATGGTCCACTAACGTGGCTGCTTGCCGCCACGCGGAACGGAAGACAGCGAGACCAATAAGCGAAGGCAGATAAGGAGGAGGAGGAGGAGGAGGAGGGGAAGAAAAAGAAGGAGGAGGACAAAAGCGAGCCGAGGGTGAGTGACCATGGCGCTGTGCGTGCATCTCATGGAGGCTCCACCGACCCTTCTGTAGACAGGACACAACGACAAGCAACAGGACAGCACGTAGTACAAGCAAGAAACTTACAACCCAACGGCGTTGCGGGCGATGATACATCTGCCAAGCCGAATCTATCGCGCGGGAGGCGGAACCAAGAAGCGAAAGGGGAACGGGGCAAGAGCGGACAATATTAGCGCCTGGGCGGCACATGCTGAACTAGGTGCAATCACCCACCAATCTTGTGAAATTCAGAGGCCTGGAAATGGGCACCAACACCAAGACAAGGGGGCTGCCTCCACAGGGGGGAGATGATCCTAGGAGGTAGTATTTCGGCCTCCTCGGAAGCATAAATATTTCCACCCTCACCGAGATCGGAATCTTTCTTCCCTCGGTGGAGGCACACCGCCGATCTTGGTGTTGGTGTCAATCTCTAGGCCTGCGACAATCTTGTGAAATGCGTCCATTCGATGGACGAGGCACGGCAGCGCCTCGCAACATCGGAGGGCCGATGCCCGTGCGGCGAGAGGGGGCGAGCCCCGGGGGGGCCAGAGCGGCCTGGGAGGTCCGCCGACCGCAGCCGTGCGCCGCCCGTGTACAACATGATATGGAGGGGCGGGGAGGAGGAGGAGGAGGAGGAGGAGGAGGAGGAGCAGGAGGAGGAGAAGGAGGAGAAGGAGGAGGAGGAGGGGGGGGAACGTGAGAGCCAAGGCGTAGCATATCACCGAGTTGGTGAGCGGCCTCACTGAGAGTGCCCGGGGCCTCCGCACTGGGGCCCTCGGCAGCAGCATGGAAGCGCGCACGCCGTGCTGGAAGCAAAATCGCAGATGGAAGCGGTGCCGCAGGTCGCCGTGCCGATGGAGCCCAGGACATGTCCTGAGTGCAGATCCTGGAGGGAACCTGCTGGAGAAAGTGTCATTTTTCTCAAGGCCCTTGCGACCAAGGAAGTGACTACCTACCAGACCACCCCAACCCAACCCGAAGACCCGAATTTCGGGTTCGGGGGGGTATGGGTTCCATATGTGTTTTCTCGATGTTTCCGGACCCCCCCCACTAGAAATCGAGGGTAAATCTGAGCCTTCGGGTTGGGTTGGGGTGGTTTGGTGGGTGGTGAGGAAGCTCCACCACGGGCACCGTGGGGGCACCAAAGGCACAACAGGCACCTGTAGGGTAGACGTGTCGGCAAGGCCGGCTGTCCAGGTCATCGGGCTGGAGGGCCAAAGATCGCCGCCTCCTCCGCCTCCTCCACCTCCTCCTCCTCCTCCTCTTCCTTTTCCTGCTCCTGCTCCTCCTCCTTCTCTTTCTCCTCCTCCTCCTCCTCCTCCTCATCCTCCTCCTCCTCCGCCTCCATCCGACCCCTCTTGTTCCTTTTCCTCCTACTCCTCCCCCTCGTCCCTCGCGGTGACGTGGCGTTCTGGACTCGTGGAGTCGTGGTACGGCGGTGTCGTTACAGTGGTGTCGTGTCCAGCAGCGAGGCGAAATCGTGGTGGTCGTCGTAACTGAACTCACTCTTCTGAACTCGCTCTCCTCGTCTTCTGTAGTTTGGGCATGTGTTCGAATACCTTGGGTGGGACCCCGGGAGCAAGAGGCCCTGGGCTGCGGATGCTGTTGGGGCCTCTTGACATATAGGCTCAGTTATTTACGCCATGAAGCTGGAACTGTCCTACAAATTCCAATCGCCCCATGTCGGAGGACATGTGTAACCGATGAGTAACGCACACCCCCACACTCAAACTCTTCGTCAATTCGCATGATTCTGACGTGCAACCGAACAAGATAGCATTCCATTCCGTGTCGTTATTTGACCGCCCCAGTGCCTGAAATGGGACTCCGAAAGACAACATTGTGCAAAACTGGCCATCTCGATTCGGAGGTATGTGTCGTCCCTCATCCCCGCCTTGAGAAAGCTCCCCCTGCATCGCTACTGGGGTGAGCTACCGCCAGGATTTCGAGACGGCTCCGGAAATGTGGCGACGAGAAGTCTCCAGGATACCTATGACTGACGAAGAAATGCCCAAATCATTATTTTTCGAGAAAGAGCACAATAATCTAAAGGTATTGTAAAGTCCTCCCGCGACCAGATGTTGATGAACCGGCCCGAGTCTTTGATCGAAGAGTCCGCGATGATCTCCATCATCCTGCGCGAAAACATCAAACTCGAACTATACGGACGGATCCATGGTATTGCGATTGAAATGAGAGGAGACGGAGGGTGGGACGCAGGAGTCGCAGAAGGAAGACAGAACGGGAAAAAGAGAAACAGAGAGAGAGAGAGAGAAGACGCTGAGGGAGAAGAGGACAATCGAGAAGAAGAAGAGAGAGAGGGAGTGAATATGTAAAAAGTAGCGGAACACAAGAAAAGGGAGGGAGGGGGAATCTGATCATGAGAGGACAAAGTGGGAATAAGGCAATCAAGGAGAGGGAGGGGGGAGGAGGAAGTAGGGAAGAGGGGATACAAAGGATGGAGGAGGAGACCGTGAAAGAGATGGAGTAAGCTGGGGAGAAATGCTTATTGAATACCTGCAGGAGTGAAAAGGAGAGAGGGACAGAAAAACAAAAAGGAAGACTGAAGATAAGAGAAAGGCATGGGAACAAGAAGAAGAGGAGGATAATACTGAGAAGGGGTCCGGGTGGGGTGGGAGAGAACTTGAAAGCTAAGGAGAGTACTTGGGACGGAGGAACTGGCCCGGAAAGAGCCGAAACACGTCCAGAACATTCGATCCTCGCCCCTCGCACGGCGTCGTTGGAGGGAGGCAGTTGGATTGGTGGAGGCGAGAGCACAGCCTCGCATTTTCCCTGGATCCTCAACGAATACATGGGCAATTGGAGGCACTGGACACGTAAGCAATGCATCGAGATGTTGGGCGACCGCCATCCCCGATTTTGTGGGTCTTCCGATAGACATGAGGCACCCTGTGGAGAGCATCCGTCATCAATTGCGGCGCTTCCGACTAACCCCCTGGGGGCGCATGAACCTCCGACATTCAGGAGGAGGAGGAGGAGCAGGAGGAGGAGAAGGAGGAGTACAGTACAGTACTCAAGCCCTTCAAGACCGATCTCTAACTGTTGGGGAAAACTCTGGCTCGGGCTGGGGCACCATAGACATTGCTACGCCTCCCATTTCGTCAGGAGAAGGAGGAGGAGGAGGAGGAGGAGGAGGAGTAGGAGGAGGAGGAGGGAGGAGGAGGACGAGGAGCAGGAGCAGGTACAGGAGCAGGAGCTGGAGCAGGAGCAGGGGCAGGACGAGGAGGAGGAGGGAGCATCCGCGCGGACCTCCAAAGCTTTACATCTATGCAGTTGCCTCCTCTGCTGGGTGGCCACACCCGAAGCCTCCAGATTACCCCTACGAACCATCCTTCCTCCTGCATCGATGGGATGCGCAGGCAGGAGCTCGTCTCTCGCCGCCACTCTTCGACGATCCCCCCCCGCCCCTCCACGAGAGACCCCAGGGCTCGACCAAAACAGTGCTCCTCGCTCTCGTCTTGTATGTTCGCCTTCCCTCGCTGTGCCTCCGATCCGCCTCTGCCGAAAACGACATCGAAACGACAGCGGCCCACGACATCGCGAAAGCACCCTGCAGGTCGACCCCCATATCGGAGGTTGCCAAAGGTGCCCCGTGGCCCAAGGTGCCCCCCCAGTTTTTCGCTCCATGTTGGAGCCCCTGGGACCCTCTGGACCTCGTGAGGGGTGCTCTGGAGGCCGTGGTGGCCTCCTTGAAAATCCTGGGGGTACCTTGGGCCAGGGGCACCTCTAGAGCCTGTTTTTTGTTTAGACTCTGGCAAGTTTACTTGCATGGAGGGGGGGGGGTCTGAGCCTGAAGCAAGCCCCGGGGGGGGGGGGGGGCGCGGAAATCACGCAAGGCGAAAGGCACTTGCACGCTAGCATTCGCTTGAAGAGTGGCGAGGGGGGGGGGGGGGGGGGCGAAGGCCATGCAAGTAAATTAGCTTGAATCGCAAAAAAAACAGGCTCCATAGGTGAAGGGGCCCCAGGACACACAAACAAATACACACGAATAAACAGATCCCCCTACAGTTTCCCATATCTGTTTGGTTTTTGCCTTCCCCCCCACTTCCCATATTTTTGCATATCTCCCGGGAGGCGACGATGAATTGTGTCTGTGTGTTTCTTTCCCTCCTGAATCGGGGATGGACAGACCTCCCTTTAGTAAAACGTGGTTTAGTGAAAACGACCTCGGGCCCAAACTTGGCGGGCGCAAGCCTGGAAAATAACGGCCGCGGCACCCTCTCGAGAACCTAAAACGGACAATTCACTAATCGACGTGTCACTGTTGGGGGCTCTGTCCACCCCCTCCTGAACAGGAGACCCCCGAGAGAGCCGCGGGCGCGGGGCCTGGCCGCCACCTCCTCCGGCGTGCGGAGCTCCGCGCCCGCGGGGCCCCGGCGGGCGCCGTGGGCCAACACAACGGGGCGCGCAGCGGGCGAGGCGGCGGCGCGGCGAGCCGGCCGGTGGGGCGCAGGGCGGGCGGCTGTCGGGTCGGGCGAAAGTGAAGGGGCCCAGGGACACACAAATAAATGCACACAAATAAACAGATTCCCCATATTTTCTCATATTTTCTGGATTTTTGTCTTCCCCCCCACTTCCCATATTTTCCCATATTTTCCTGGGACTCGACGATTAATTGTGTCCTGTGTTGGGCGAAAGGGGGGGATAGCAAAGGGGGGGTTTGAGAATCAGCTCACGTAGCTGATTTTCCCGGCGCCTCCCGGCGCCGGAGGCGACGATGTGTCGAGGAATGGGTCCCTGGGTGGGGCCGAAGCCAGCTGCATGTATAGCTAATTTCGTACCCCCCCCCCTTTCCTCATCCCCCCCTTTGGTCCAGCCCGAGGCTGGGCCGAGGGCCCCGTGGCGGGTCCGGGAAGATTTTGGTTTGGGTGTTTTGGGAAGGCTTTGGTTTTGGTTTTGGTTTGGGGCCGTTGTCGGGCCCCGGGGCCGTGCACAACGGATCCAGGATGAAACATTTGACCAGCTGGACACTATGAAGGGGCCCTGGGACACACAAATAAATACACACAAATAAAATAAACCCCCATATTTTCCCATATGTTCTGGGTTTCTGTCTCCCCGCCCAATTCCCATATTTTCCCATATTTTCTGGGGAATCGAGGATTAATTGTGTCTGTGTGTTTTTTCCTCTCCTGACACTAGAGGAGCGGCGACCCGGCGAGCCGGCCGGTGGGGTGAAAGGCGGGCGGCTGGGCCGAGGGCCCCGGGGCGGGTCCTGGCAATCAGCGCGGGGCTGAGCCCAAGCGGTGACTTTTCGCTCTCCACACCGAGCCGCAACGCCAATGCATAGGCGACGCGGCGCGATCCTCCGACCCCATCTGCTCCGACCCCATTTACGGGGGGGGTTGAGAATCAGCTCACGTAGCTGATTTTTCCGGCGCCTCCCGGCGCCGGAGGATCGAGGAATGGGCCCCTCGGCGGGGCCGAAACCAGCTGCATGCAGCAGATTTCGTAACCCCCCCTTTCCCAATCCCCCCCTTTCGTGCGGCCCGACCCTGGCGGGTCCTGGAAATCGTCGCAGGGCTGAGCCCAAACGGTGTTTTTCGTTTTCGTGTTGGGATCGGTGTTCCCTCGTGGAGCCTGGCGGGCGCCGAGGCCAACACGGGGCGCACAGGGCGAGGCGGCGGCGCAGCGGGCCGGCCGGTGGGGCGCAGGGCGGGCGGCTGGGCTTGAGGGCCCCGGGGCGGGTCCTGGAAATCAGCGCAGGGCGGAGCCTACAGTCGGGGCGTGGACCCAAGGACCCCCAAAGAAGGAGCGAGGCCCCTGTTTTCCATAAGTTCAGCTTCGATTTTCCATCGGAAACATCAGGGAAGCCTGAGGTAAGCTGTGAAACACTTAAGGAACACCGAGCCCCTCCCCAACGAAAAGGGTTCCTTCTTCAGGGCCCCGACTGTAAGCGGTGTGTTTCGTTTGCGTGTTGCTATCGTTTTCCCTCGCTGTTGTCTCCAGTCCGCCGTTTTGCTGCAGAGCGAAGCCGAAAGGAAAACGGCCCACGAGATCACCAAAATCACCGTTTAGGTCCAGCCCCGAATCCTCGGGGGTCCTGAGGCAGCATGGGAGATCCTGAGGAATCCTGGGGGGTCCTGAGCAATCCTAAAGGGGGATGCTGAAGATCCTCGGGGACCCTGAAGAATCCCAAGGGAACATGAACAACCCTGAGGGGTCGTAGGGAATCCTAACACATCCTGCAAACAAAAACCTATAAAGCCCTGAAAACACACACAAAAATAGAAATCCTGAGGATCCAATGGGGGCGTGAGGAATCCTGGGGGGCCCTGGGGAATCCTGTGGGATTCGGAGGAACCCAAAGGGTTTCAAGAGAAGTCCTGAAGAATCCTGCGGAACCCGGACGAATCCTTGGGGTAAAACGACGCGAAGATCGGGACAAAATCGGATCGGGATAACTCGAAATCTCTGAGAAGCGGCGGGTTTGGAGGATGTATTGGGCGCCGCGGCCGCTCCAGAGCGTTCTGGAACGCTCTGAGAGCGCTCCGGAACGCTCTGGAGCGATTTATCCCGATCCTAGCCCTGTTTGATGGGGACCCTCGGGGCGGTCCCGGGGAAGCCTCGCGGAGCAGGCCCAGCGTGCCAACACCTTCTCCCCGGCCCCGTGGAGAGCCTGCCGCCGCCGCCCAAGGTGCCAAGGCCTTCCCACGCCCAGTGATGCAAGCCCGCGGTTGCTGGAGCGCGGCTTGGCCGGTGTCTCCGTTCTTCCGACCAACATCACCACCACCAACAGCAGCAGCAACGACAACAGCAATAACAGCAGCAACAACAACATCAGCACTCGACTACCCCGCCCCAAGAGGCCCCCAAGAGCCCCCCAAGAGGCCCAAGGGGGCCCCAAGACGCCGCCAAGGAGCCCCAAGAGACCCCCAAGAGGCCCCCAAGAGGCCCCTGGGAGGCCCCAAAGAGGCCCCCAAGAGGCTTCAAAGAGGCCCCATAGAGCGCTCGAAGGCCGGCGGCATGAGCGAAGCGATTGAATAACAGCAGCAACAACAACATCAACAACAACAACCATAACAACACCACCACCACCAACATCAATCATTTTAAGCCTGTTCGCCCTTGTCTGCTCGAGTGTCCAGTAACGCGTATTTCCCAAACCCTCGATACCCGCCCCCTTCGTCTTCGATCGTGCCTCTTTTGGAGGGTATACCTTTCTTCCCTGCAGGCCGGGCCCCGGCAAGCGGCGGGGCGGCCGCGGACCGTCGGCCTGGCCAGCGGCAGCGCTGATCGGCGGGGCGGCCGCGGACCGTCGACCCGACCCCAAGAGGACTGACAGGGTTACGACCACGACGCGGACGGACGACGACGACGCCGACGACGACGACCGGACGACGGCGACGGCGAACGGCCGACCGACGGCGACGACCGACGACGACGGCGACGACAGACGACGAAACGACCAAAAAGCGAGAGGATAGTGGAGAGCGTTATGATTAGAGAACGACCAGCAGTGGCCACACGAGAGACAAGAAGTAGGCCACGAAGGGCTCGACAGCGGGGCCACGAAGGGAATGGTATGGGGCCACGAAGAGCCATGCACGCAGCGGGCGAGTGGCGGCCAAGGTGGGACACCGAAGGGAATACGTACATCATACGTATACTGGCCCGCGCGAGGGCAAGGACGGGGCCACTTAAGGCCAGCAGAAACGGGGCCACGAAGGGCAAGAAGCAAGAGGAGGCCACGAAGGGCGACAGCGGCAATGGGCAACACGAAGCTTCAAGGGCAAAAAAAAAGGGGCCACGAAGGGCGACAACGGGGCCACGAAGGGCATGCGCATGGAGCCACGACGGGCGCGAAAGATCGGGGGCCACGAAGGGCGGATCATGTGTGGCCACTGAAGGCAACGACGTGGCCACTGAAGGGAGCAACTGAGCCACGTAGGAAAGTGTCGGGGCCACAAACGGCGACAGCGGGGCCACGAAGGGCATGCACATGGGACCACAACGGGCGCGAACGAACGGGGACCACGAAAGGCATACGGATACCGGGGCGTGGAGGGCAAGGACGGGGCCACTGAGGGCAGCAACGGGGCCACGAAGGGCAGCGAGGGGGCCACGAAGGGCGACAGCGGGGCCACGAAGGGCATGCATATGGGGCCACCACGGGCGCGAACGAGCGGGGGCCACGAAGGGCATACATATATGGGGCCACGAAAAACAGCGAGGGGGCCATGAAGGGCAGCGAGAGGGCCAAGAAGGGCTGCTACGGGGCCACGAAGGGCTGCGACGGGGCCACGCGAGGGTAGCAGGAGCGCCTAGTTAGAAGCTTAGTTAGCGGTACAGACAGCAGCATCATCACGCTTAGCAGTAATCACTTATAGTAAGCCGAGCAGCCAAACTACAGAGTTTCAGTAGCCTTTTCAGCGAGTTTAAGCGACGGGGCCAAAGAAGGGCTTAAACCGAGGCCACGAAAACAAAGCGAAGGGCCACGAAGGGCTGCAACGGCGGCACGAAGGGGAAGAGCAGCGATGAGGCCACGAGGGCCACGAGGGGCGCACAGCGAGGGTGCAGTTGGCCGCGAAGGGCAGCTGACTCAGCGAGGGGGCCACGAATGGCTGGCTGCAACGGGGCTCGAAACAAAGCGGGGGGCCACGAAGGATTAACAACAACAACAACAACAACAACTGAACAACAACAACAACAACAACAACAACAACAACAACAACAACAACAACAACAACAACAACAACAACAACAACAAACAAACAACAACAACAACAACAACAACAACAACAACAACAACAACAACAACAACAACAACAACACCAATCACTTTACCCGAACGCTCAGTGTTCTCACCAGTGCCAGGGTTTTCATGCGACGCCAGCCAATACCCCCACTTTGTGGGGGGGCAGTGCAAGCTCTACCAAATATCCACACGACTCTTCGCACCACCCACACCCAGCTTCCCGCCCTATGACGTTCGGACACTTCACTTCGTGGCCTGCGGACGACCGTGGCTACTACACTGGCGTGGAGTACACACCCACAGAAGTTGTTAAGCCTACGTTCGTACACCCACAGGTGTTTTTCGAGGACCTACGGTGCGATTCGTGTGATTTTATGATGCGCGGTGCTAAAATTCTTAAGAAGCCCAATGGTTTTTGGAGATTTCGGCGTGCGCGCGCGAATAAAAAACGAATGTGTCCCGCATGGTATTATTTGACAGGGATGATGGCCCGGGCAGGTGCGCAACCGTTGTTGCAGAAGTTCGAAAAAAAAAAAAAAATAAAAAAAGAAAAAAAAAAAAAGGTTGCTCGGCAAAAAAAGCACGTTTTTTTTCCCGTTGTTCCGTTTGACAGAAATATGTTTAATAAAAAAAAGTGTTGGGTTTCCGCTAACAACG